TTGAATTGCTTGCAGATTCTGACATAAATAAAGTGATAAACATTGATATAAGTGATAATGACTTGAATTGATGTTAAATAGTGGCGAATGTAATTCAGACACAAAGTTGACCACAAATAATGTGGCTAAAGATATGTCTTAGACGGCTGTTTCAGCTCAGCGGGAAATCCTATCGCTTTATATTCTGTATTGAATTTTACATACTATTGCATGCAATCATATGTCATTTTTAGTGAAGGAGTGCAATACTACCTAGATAAGATTGCATATGATTTTGAAAAACACGATTTTACTGAAATTGACTTAATATTGCATGCACTTCTAAGCCAGGTATTACGGTATTAACAATCATTATACAAATCAATAACTAATTAATTACCTATCACTCTCCCCCTCCCCCTTCCTATAGCCGACAGTACCGTGAAATGCGGGACATACCCCACGGACTCGATCGACAAATACACCAACCAAACGGTAAACGTATGCTTTGAAGAGCGTGTGTGTCCGGTGGGCGGTGTCTGGCCGTACCTGTTCTCCATCCAGTACTTCATTTTCCTTAAACTGGTACTCATGACACTCCTGTACGCGCTCTTCGCGGCCACCGCTTCCCGCCTGCAGACCGAAACGGACAACATATGGAAATATCAACGCTATATTCTGGTCGTGGACTTCGCCCACCGGTTGCCACTGCCCGCCCCGTTGAACGCTTTTTACTACGTGTACTTAGTCCTGAAGTGGCCCTATCGGTGGGTCACGTGTTACTATTGCTGTCGACGCGGCGGCGGCACAGATACCACGGTTAGTGTCCCGGAGATCACATCCCACTGTCCACTACTCAGTGCTCTCTTTCTATATCTGTGTTTAATTTATTGATATATGTGTGGCACCGATAGGATGGCCGCCGGCATCGCAATAACGTGATGCTCCCGATGTCGGACCAGTCGGACAAGTATTGCGAGAACCGTCTGACAGAAGAGGACTACAACTTTTGGCGCCATTTGGCCCGAGAGTACTACCGGAAGGAAGAGCTGAAGGGAGAGGAGGCAAACATCGCGAAGAAGGAGTGGGAAGCCGTGCAGACCATCACCGAAGAGATTGAACACGAGAAGAAAGTGCTCAGACAACTGAAGGTAACACGTGACCCCACCGATAGGGCCACTTCAGGACTAAGTACACGTAGTAAAAAGCGTTCAACGGGGCGGGCAG